CCCGACCACCACATCAAGGTAGCAGCTACGGTCGGGTACCTCTAGAATAACCCTTTCATGGTGTGAGTAACCGGGAGTTGATAAACGCCCTCATACCTCTAACAGCACTCAAGACCACTATATTCATAACCGATTTTCCTCGTCAATCCTTATTATTTCACCTACCTCGACTATCAACCATAAACTTACTACTTGAGTGTCACCATGGCCAACGACTCGAGTGTGCGAAATATTGTCCCTGTTAACAGTTACCTATGTGTTGTTCGGTTAAAAGGTTCTGTAAGAACTCGGAAGGATAGAGAAACACGTTGTCATCTTTTCGTCATTTCTGCCTACGCTCCCATTGACTGCAACCTGGGTGAAACGAAAGATGAATCTTACAAAAAGCTTTCTGAACTTCTTCAAAAAGCTAAATACTCAGACGTAGTACTCGTAACAGGCGACCTTAATGCCCAAGTAGGCAGTTTAAACCAAACAGAAAGACATTTGGGTAGGTATTTTGTTATTCTGACCAAGCGAACAAATAATGATGACTGCTACAACTTTGTTCAGACAATCGTTTATTTTTAACAAGCAATAATTTAAAGCATGAGACATCGCCTAACATGGCGACCCCTTGCACCAAACCAACAATGGACTCAAATAGACCATATTGCCATCGTTCACAAATGGAGAGGCTCGATAGAAGACTGCTGTTCGTTCTGGAATACATGATTGGACTCTGATCATGCTCTAATACGAGCACGCATTTGCTTACGCCGCACTGGACGCAAAAAAGACATTAAAACCCATTAGAGTTAAACTCGGCGACGATAAAGCCAAAGGTATATTTCAGGAACAACTGGAACCACACTTCGACGATTTTGAAAACGAGGCTGACCCAGATGTTGCTTGGAAAGATATACGAACATCTGTGGAAACAGTGGCGACATTTATTATTGATTTGAACCAAATGGTTACGAAAAACCAGTGGGTTTCTATTAAGTCTACTGTACTGATTGATTATCGTAAACGTATCCCATCAGGCTCTGAACAAAATGAAGAGCGAAAACAAGTCAGATCTAGGTTAACCAAAAGTCTACGGAACGACCGTGAGCAGTGGCGAGCCACAAAAGTAAAAGAGATGGAAAAGGAAAAGGCTGTAGCTAACACAAAACAGCTTTTCGGACTAGTAAGAGAAACCGGAATTTAAAAGCCAAGTGTAAGTGAGACAATCATCAAGAAAGACGACACTCTTATCTGCTCTCCGCCTAGACGTTTAGAACCATGGGCGGAACACTTTAAGTAACAGTTCAGCTGGCCTTCAGCTACTCTACAACTACCCACCATTCCCAGTCAGCCTGAATGGAACATTGAGTTAGGTCCCCCGACTCTAATTGAAGTTCAAAAAGCTATAACTAATCTGAAACGAGGGATAGAAGATGGTGCAAATGGGTTAATTCTAGAGGTTTTTAAGGATGGTGGTCAAGTTTCAGCGATTAGGTTGATCAATATTTTAACTAAAATCTGGGGACTGGACGCAATCCCATCTGACTGGTTGCAATCACAGATCGTCCTAATATATAAGGGGTCAAAATCATCCTGTGATAACTATAGAGGAATTAGTTTGACTAAAGTGGCAACTAAAATATTAGCCTCAATAATTATCGGACGTCTAACAAAGACTCGTGAACTGCAAACATGAGAAAATAAGGCTGGCTTCAGACCTGGTCGTGGCTGCATTGATCACATATTCACCATTCGTCAGGTTTTAGAACACAGGCATGCTTATCGGCGTCCGACAATGATGGAAGTTAGGGGCGGTCAAACTAAAACGCAGCATCACTCCATAAAGTTACTAACTTCCAGTCTAAGCCATGCTAGTAGATGAAATCTAATTGGTTGGGGTCCGCGCGACTATCGTAACCATTTGTTGGAGATTCTGAGTGAAATGGTTCCGAATCGACCAGAATGGCGTAAGTGTATGCATTCTTTGTCTTCTCTTAAATCGTGAGATTAAAATAATTTTCTACGAAATAATTCTTTCTCCCTGTATCATATCTTTGTATGAGATCTTCGTTTTTATATATTACTACCATTGAGGTAACTGCTCCTATAGATTTGGTGTCCATCTTGTTGTGATAATGAGTTATGAAAACTTGGACCGATGTATATATGTACCTGACCCTACGTCGTAGATGATTGACTGATGTTCTAACTAGATTGGTCGATATCTTCTTACAAAAAATCTCTATACATAAGACAAAAAACGTTTTTGGTCAATGTAAGATATTCTTTACTGATAGTATGGAGTAAAGACACTAGTAAGCAGCGCATATTACTTAGACGTAATTTAAGTAGCCCTTTTGCTGTACTCATACCCGAAGTGAGTTAACTGACCATCATTTTTATTAAGAACAAGCCGTTCAGCTTATGAGAAATCTCATATACACAATCCATGTATACTACGAAGTCTACTTTAAACGTGAATATCAACATTAAATTTATTTTTGCAATGATATGACGACAAATAATGTGATGTCTGACTTGAGAAAGGCCTCTTAAAAAATATTTTTATCCTCAAGACTCGCAAAGGAACATTAAACGAAACCAAATTACTACTCATTGTTCGACGTGATATCTTACGTATCGCTTCCTATGTACATTGTCTAAAGTGTCTCAATATTTCACACAAATATCTCGAACAGTGGCACATATAATCGGTACTTTTTGATCTTTCAGTAACCTAATGTAAATAAACAAGATAACTTACGATATATTTAGTGACATAATTAGAACGAATTAGAATGAGTCAAGGTTGTTCATTCTGTTGCCTAAATAATGAAAAAGATCCTGGCAAGATAACCTGTGAGAGCGAAGATCTTGGTAAAGCCTAATGTACTGATGAAAGAATAAGTAAAAAAATGAACACTTACATTTTGGAAATGTTGTTCTGCCAATTGAAGACTTTTTGGATGGTCATGATGTAACAGACTGACGAATGTATTAAAGTAATTTTCAAAGTTTTCTTTAACTTCTCGATATTTATTATGTATATCAGAGGTTGGCATTACGTGCCTTTATAATTCTATCAAGTCAAAAAAGTTTCCGAGATTGACACCTTAGTCAAGTTAAGAGAGAATTAACAACAAAATGTAACTGAATGAATGCCTAAGAATACACAATTTCAACATGAAATCGGGATTATATTACCCAAGTTCACTAGCTTTGTTCTAAACGCTTACCAATAAAATCAAAGTGTAGGTTGTTTTCGGTGTCTTATGGAACTGTCCTAAAATAGGTTGAAAAATATACAAATTGAACGAGATATTCCATGTAAATCGTGCTCTGTATGTCACTTCTCAACAGGTATTTTCGTTTCTTAATGACCAGTCAATACTTAGCCAAACTGATGTCCGAAAATGGACCCCGAGTGGAAAATACCACTCGATTTTGTCTACTTACTTCCAACCCACTTTAGAGAAGATACTCTGATTTGGTAACGGGATGTATTATTTGTAGACATCTAACACGTCCTTTACTGCACAAAATTAAGGTCTAGACTCTAGTGCAAACTATCGATGAACACAACTAAGGGGGATTTATAGATGGATCTACGTTTGATAATCATCTGTTAAAAATAACTGAGAAGTCTCTGTAAGTGCAAGGTCGTATAAATATGTTAGCTGAGGTACAGCATAGTTAAAAAAAAACCCAGAGCGATATATAAAAAACCAGGAAATCCTGAGTATTAGTAAAGTACTACTCTAGCTTCGAAAAAATTTTTAAGTGAACGTTTGGGATCATTCTGTGCTTGTAAACCCCAGTATCCGTTTGCTATTGTTATTTCTGAGTTACTACCAATTGACGACAAAAACACCCACTGAGTTTTGGGATCTAGAGACACATTTTTGTGTAATGCAAAATTCGGCGAGACTCTAATTTAAGGACGACCTTTGAACGAATCTTAAGTGACCTTGACAATTATTAGCCAATCAGAAGACAGTTAGTATAAAGTGAGAATATATTGTAAGTAATGAATTACAGTGGATATTCTTCTTTTACATGATTTAAAAACTTGTTAAGGTTTGATAAAGGTTCAGAGGCTCTGAATTCATAATGCATATTGTATAGAAACTCGTTCATAGGGTTAGTGGTTAGGGTTGTACCCTGTAAGTAGACACATCTCTAAAATCCGATGTAAACCGATCGCATGTTAGCACCCTAATCCTAACCCTAAACCCTAATCTAACCCTAACCTTAACCTAACCCTAAACCCTAATCTAACCCTAACCTTAACCCTAATCTAACCCTAACCCTAACCAAACCTAAACCTTAATCTAACCCAAAAACCCTAACCTTAGCCCTAAACCCTAACCTAACCCTAACCTAACCCTTAACCCTATCCAAGCTACCAGCTTTGGGGAAATTTTGGGGAATTTCGGGGAAATTTTGGGGAATTTCGGGGAAATTTTGGGGAATTTCGGGGAAATTTTGGGGAAATCCCCAAAGTGAAATAGCCTTCCCTAAAGTTTGGGGAAATTTTGGGTTTTTTTCTCATTTCCCCAAAATTTATTACAGCATCTTCCCCAAAATTTCCCCAAAATGGACTCAATTTTCCCCAAAGTTGGGAGCCTGGGTAATTTTAACCCCAAACCCTAACTCTATGGACGAGTTTCTATACAATATGCATTATGAATTCACAACTTCTGAGTCTTTATCAAACCTCAACAAGTTTTTAAATCATGTAAAAGAAGAATATCCACTGTAATTCATTACTTAAGTAATGAATTACAAGAAATTTCTTGTAATATATTTTTACTTTATACTGTCTTCTGATTGGCTGATAATTGAAATTGCTCAAACGCTTCTCATTGGCTCGTCCCTAAATTAGAGTTTCGCCGTCCCATCTGTTGTAACCTACTCTCTAAAATCCGCTGTGAACCGATGATATGTGGCAACGCTCCTAGGGTATCGTCCACTGATGGGGGTTGCGAGCACTTGAAGGTCAAACTGTCGCAAAATGATTGGTGCGTCACATCGACAATTCGTGAAAATTTTCAGAAGCGGTCAAATCAAGACATTTTTAGATTTGAGTTGAGTTCAGCCACACTATGTCTGATAACGTTCATTCTTCAAGTAACGAAGACGATTCCATCGTGATGATGCATGATATAGGACGAATCTTCAATGATATTATGTTTTCTCGAAGATTTACAAGTTGGGACAATTTTGAGACCTGTTTGAAAGAAGTACATAAGGTAATATGACCTCTGTGGTTAATAATTATTTTCTTAGTATACGCATACTAAGTACGTTATGTCAGTATGCAAAAAGAACAGTGATGATCCAACTCTAAAGTACTTTTTCGTGAGATATGTCTGTACATATGGACGTAAACGCAGTTCGTCAGAGTCAGATGCTTGCGTTCAGGATGTAGATGATGATAGTAATAATCATTCTTCTGAAGAGCATACAACTTCTAACTCGCCAACACAACCTAGGCAAAGGAGACGACGTCGGTCATCTACGTATGCCTTACTTCAAATGAATTTATCCTTCAGGTCGAAATATTGCCACTGTAAATCAGGATTTTGGGTCCGGGCACTGAATGGTGAGTTGAAACTCACCTCTATTAAAACCGTGCACAACCATCCTTGCACAGAAGGATATATTTCTGTCGATCCATCGAAACGACAGTTGACCTCAAGTGAACGCTTGTATTTAAGAACGTTTCTACTGAGTAATACACCAACTCGTAGCTTACGGTATCTGGTTTCTTTGAAGTTCAATAAACAACTTACCAAGGACGATATCGCCAGAATGCGTTCACAGTTGTACCCAGGTTGTTGAACTCACATTGTAATTAATTGAGTTTAGACACTAAAAATATCAATAACATTTTACAGCGCATTCAAGGTAATACTGAAGTTAAAGTATTCTATGAAAATGGGAACATGTCTATGATTTGCTTCAGCCGCAGAGAGCAAATAGCTGTTTACCACGCGTTCCCGGAAGTAATATGTATTGATTCGACTTATCAGACCAATAAAGTCGGGTAAGTGACGATTAGTAATAAATTTATCTGAAAGCTTTCCACTGTTCCAGCTAGTGGTCACTGATAGTCTTGGGCAAGGGCACACTGTTATGTATGCTCTTTGCAGTCAAGAACGACGCGAAGATATAGAAAAACTATTGGAATGTTTTAAAGAGATAATGTGCGGTACTTATGCTACACGCACGTTCATTATGGATTCGGCAGCGACCGAAATTTCGGCTGTGCAGTCTACGCACAGTCATTCTAACATAATACTTTGTTCATTCCATGTCCTAAGAGCGTTTTTCAGGAAGGTATGTGTTAGCTGTACAAATTATTTTCTGTAGTTCCGAAATCCTGATGTGCGCAAATGCTTGGAACAGCTTGTGAAGACTAGACGGTCTGATATGTGAGCTTCGCTTTTCATAGCGCATTATATTCAGATTTACTCGAAAGTACGAACATCTAAGAACGCATTTTCCACGGGCGTATGATTACATAAAAGATTACTGGATTGCTAGGAAGTCAATGTGGGCTCGCTGTTACCGGCGACATGTATTAAGCCTGGGCAACCACACAAACAACCGTGTTGAAAGTGCTCATAAACACTTAAAAGAATGTCTCAGAAGAGGTGATTCCCTATTATTGACGTTCTGGAAAATTTGGAGTAAAACAGACATTGATGTACGTTTGCGTCCTTATGACGCTGTGAAGGATCTTCAACGTTTTCCTATTCTTCAGGTAAGAAATATAGTTAAATGTATCATTAATTCCAGGTTCCAATGTCATTTCGAACTCTTCTAAATGAGTTCACATCTTTTGCAGCTAAAATTGTAGCTGTAAATTATAAACGTGTTCGGACAATGAGACACGAATTTATAGAAGGAGAATACATCCGGTGCTACGACAAGGGTATGATGTATGTTGTTGATACTTCACGTGCACGATGTGCTTGTGAGCGTTTCAATGACTACATGCTGCCCTGTGGTCATATTTTGTATGCACATTCTAAAGATCTGATTCGCGGAGGTATGTGTGTTCCTTTATCTCTATAAGTTTTGTAGACTTATTTCGACATAGCAACCGGTGGACAAGAAAATACATAATGGACCTGGTTCTTCGTGCGCTGGACAACATCTCAATCTCTACAGGGAGTGATGATCTGCTAGAGAAGTTCACTAGCAACTACCACTCAATCCATGCTCTTAGTGAACCTATGGCAAGTAAACTCATCCGTTCATGCCTCGAAGCATCGGAAGACATATGTGCACAGTTGATGAGTTCAGTCGGTGCTAATGATGAAGCTGCAACGTCAGAATCCATTGTTAATGCAGACCATAGTTATGCTTCTTGATAACAAGAAGTTCTAATATTGTAATCTTTTTAGTTTTACATAAATTCATTTATATGGCGATTGACTTATTCTTATAGCGTAACGGCAGGGAGTGTACTGTGCAGTCTTATGTGGCTGTGAGACAGGGATGTTGTTTCGCGTTCTTGTGTAATAATTACCAGTTTGGCGCACACGCGATTAGTTATACATACCGTTTACCAAATACTGCTACCTTGAACATGGTGTACCATACTAGTAGTTCGGATTTCGACGTGTCACGATAGATAAGAATTGCCGTAATTAAGAGACTGGTGCGTTATAAATGTAAACGTTTATTAAAGTTTGAATCTAGCACAAATGGTCCATTAATAAATAACTTCTACTTCTCAGGAATTGTTCCCGTTAGGTCTGTGAACGCATGCGAAGCTAGCTGGAAATAAGATAGACAGGAAAGTTATTTCAGTATAAATGTTTACCAGAAACTAGTATAAAAACGGAAACCAGTATCCAATTACAGATCGAAAGTGCATTTAGCACACCCTTCCTTTGGATAGTCAATCACGCTTATTTCCTTTATCTCTTGCGTTGCTTAGGAAAGTCTGGGTCACAACATACACGGATTGTATTATTTAATCCTTTGGGCAGGTTGCACTTCAGAAACTTAGACGATGAACATATATAAAGACTACTGTGTGAATTTACTTTCAATCGTCCTGTGTAACCTGAAATTCTTGATGCATATTCTATTCTAGTCCCACGTAAGTTATGAGTAATTGTCATTTACGGCATCAGCACGTAAGCTAGACAGGCCTTGGTTGATTTCCGAAGATCATCACATAGGATCTCACACAATCTGGTCACCTTAGATCAAGATATCTTGACTATCGAATCGTACTTTTCAGTGCTTTCTCGTAACAGCTTTATTTCAGTACTTATTTCTGATATTAGGTATTTTTGCAATAATACCGGCAGCCAAAACATTGTAGCTCCCCAGACAACCCAAAAAGGGAAAATAAAGGGGTAAATGCTTTGGTAGCGAAAGGGGAAAACACATCAGAATGTCGCATTTTTCGCCTGTCCAGAGGAAATAATGTGGATTTCCCCCTTTTTCGCCGTTTTGTCGATAAATTACTCACTTTTCGCCTAAATATCCCCCAAATTACCGAATTTTCGCCTAACTGTCCGCAGAATTGTTTACTTTTCGCCTAAATGTCTGCTGAATTGTTTACTTTTCGCATAAATACACACAGAACTCCCTATTCTCCATCCATTAACATAACCCCAAAGGTCTACTATGTTCACCTTTATTTTCAACAACAGACCAAAATAAATCTGCAATACAGTGAAAGACCGGCATGTTTTTGAAAAATTTTATTTAAAAGGTGAAGCGTATTATTGTACAACACTAGAGGAGAAGCTTAAGCATCGATTGTTTTGCATATCCAATGCAATTGCTAATTCATTGTTATTTGAAATTATCTGCAAAAGAAGAAACACGTGATGTATTATTTATAAGGAATGTGCATTTATTCAAAAGTTCACTGACACTCAAACACACATTCTCAACACTTCTACAGTTTCCCATGTAAGTAAAAAAGTAAGCTGTTTGAAAAATATTTATTGAAATGTAGGTACAACATCAAAACAATTGCACGGCTATTGAGAATTGAGGTAGTCGTCCCGTGAATTCAGAATTTAAAAAAAGAAAAAAGTCACAACCATATCTCAATGACATGCTTTGGTACAGCCAAATACTTGTGTACATCTACACAAGAGGTAGTAATGCTATCTTAGCTTCGTCTTTGGTAGAATCTCCACATAATTATACCTCTACCGCATGATTATGATTTATTTCCTGCAATACAATCATCTGGTGGCTAATATATCTAACTGTAGAAGGTGATATTAACATCTTAATATGTGTTATTATCATCTATAGCATATACATAATATTTACAACACTCAGGACACCTTATGTTTTCACTATAAACCTATTTCTGCCATAAAAGTCGAACAAAACAGTGAAAATCAGCAGAAATTGTGATAAAGATAGGAAAAACGATAAATCTTACCATGGTATCGTTAGTTGTAACGCAGTTTTCGTAGCCTTGACGACAATACAATTTTTATGACGATATATGCCTGAATCTTCCTATTTCATATAAAAATAAAAGATTTGTCGACCATCAGTGTATACCTAAGTAGAAATAATTGCTAATCTGCGAAGCGAACATCGGAAAACTATTATAGCAGCACCTGAATAATGAATTTTCAAGGACTTCACGATACCATGTAACGCAAAATCGAAAAACCCCTTTTTACCTAATTATGAAAACGGAAAATAGACTTTCAAATTTATTCATTATGTATTTCCAAATTTGGTTGTGCACAAAGCAGAAATGAAAAAGTAGCGCAAAAAAGTGTCGCGATACCCCTGGAGCGCTGCCATCGTATGTTAGCAGCGCGTGTTGAACTTGGCTCCGTGACCTTGAAATCGCTCAAACGCTTCTGATTGGCTCGTCCCTAAATTAGAGTCTCACCCAAAATTCTGTTTGGATGTCTCGAGGAAATATAACATTTCCTGCCTAAAGAGGCTTAGGAAAAACTACTTTTCCAACTCTAGGACTACGAGCAAGCGGTAGTGATGCTACGAGTTTAGGGTGGTTATGTAGGATGAAGATATTTCTAACCGAACCTACACAAGACAGTTGGGTAAGACTATAATTTATAGACGAGCCAATCAGAAGCGTTTGAGGAATTGGAAAGCGTATAGATGCCTTCATAGACTTGGGTTTGTGCACCCTAACATTATGCAATATGATTTCAGGACATCTGAACCTTTATCTAACCTTAACAAGTTTTTAAATCATGTAAAAGAAGAATATCTGCTGTAATTCATAAGTATTTTATAATGTTTTTACTTTATACTAACTCTCTTCTGATTGGCTAATAGTTTCAAGGTCACTTAAAAATTCGTTCAAAGGCCGTCCATGAAATATAGTCCTACCGACAGATGTTTGGGATCACGAGATATAGGTTTCTACGTCACCAGCAATTCTAAGTCCAATATTTTAAGGTTTTTCAACTGGTGGAAGCGTATTTGAGCACTTCTAGGTGGTTAAATGTAATTTTCTAAGTTGTTGAGTTCTCAATCTTCCTATTCTGAGTTAATTTTAGGGGTCTCCCTGAAGTGTTTTCGGGCATATATTGGGGTAAACCCTAAAGTTCTCCAAAAGTTCGAGGATCTTCCCCAGATCTGGAGAAACGTTTGGGGTTTTCGTGTCACTTTTCCAGCATTTCCTATTGTGGCTTGCCTAAAATTAATCGAAAACGGATAGATTTTCCCCGAAAATAGGGAGCATGGGTATGAGGAATATTGCTCAGACCTCGTAGAATATTGTGAGCTGGCTACACAAAAATGTTTACATATGGAATTCATTTACAAAATATACTATCCTCAGGTATAACACAGGTAGCGAAAATGTCATAATAAATAGATTAAACAGAACACTTAAAAGTACATTGAAATCGAGTGAAAAAGCCTCCAAGGAAACCTAACTAGCTTAAAAATCTCCAAGTTCTGATTGGCGGTTTCTGTCATTTTAGAGTAAACAAATCACTATTGACTTTGTCATACATAACTGCATCAGTTGGTTGGAATCGCCGCTAGAGTAAATACCCCGATAATATGTGAGTAAATCCTTGGCACAATTAGCCTTCAACCAACTGCATATGGACAATTAAAGGTATTGATCCAAGCAATTGATCAATAATTCCAAACAAAATGGTTCCTACCTTACCGTGTCACTGTTACGACACATTCAAATGGTTCAAATGGTTGTGGACGGAATAGAAGAAGCTTTCGCTTAACAGGCTTCCGTGTCTAGTAGCAGGGGATCACGAAATCCTCCAGGCAGGAACCTAGGTATGTTAACAATAAAAGAGGAAAAGAAATTGGTAAATCATAGTGTGATGCTGTCTTTGGTCCTTAAGAATAGGTCAAGTTGCCTCTTGAAGGACTCCTGAGAAGTCGCTTGGACTAGCTCGGCCGGCAGCGAATTCCAGCTTTTGACAACTCTTAAGGAGTAGAAGTTGTGTCTACATTCCGTCTTGCTATGTTGTGTTTCCAGTTTCTGGGTGTCACCCCTTAGGTTATTATTCGAACTAAGCTTAAGTAGGTGTTTAAGAGGATGTCCAGAAGTGTTAAGAATACTATAAGCCATTAATAAATCACCTCTAAGACGCCTATATTCTAGTGGGTAAAGGTCTAGTGAACGGAGGCGTTCTTCGTAAGGCTTAGATTTGAGTCCTCGAACTGATTTCGTGGCTCGCCATTGGATACGCTCCAAAGTGACCTTGTCCTTTTGGAGTGAGGGGGGGAGTACTATGTTTCCGTACTCTAAATGGGGACGGATGAGACTATTGAAGATTATATGGAAAGTTCTTCCGTCAAACTGGCCAAAAATGCGCCTCAACGTTACCAGTGCAAGGTTTGCTCGGAAGGCATTTTTGTCACAGTTAGCGTAAGACTTTAAGTCATGAGGCACCAGGACTCCTAAATCTTTTTCGACTTGGGATACTACTAGAGAGGAGTTTCCTAAGTTGTAACTGTAGTTTGCGACATGTCGCAGATGGACTACTTTACACTTTGAAGCGTTAAAGGTAAGTCCGTTATCGTCTGCCCAACTTTGAAGTCGAGTCAGATCCTCCTGAAGTGCCTGTGTATCGTCTTGGTTGCGTATCTCTCTCCAAAGTTTCACGTCGTCGGCAAAAAGTAATAAGTCTGACGTTACCTGTTGAGGAAGATCATTTATGTAGGTCAAGAGGAGAAGAGGCCCTAGTACTGAGCCCTGGGGGACCCCACTAGGACATTCCATAGCCTGAGATAAAGTGAAATTAACCCTAACCTTAAAGTGTCGATTTTTTAGGTATGAAGTAAGCCAATCGATTAGAGGTGGTTTGATACCCAGTCGTTTGAGCTTGTTGATAAGACACAAGTGGTTAACCTTATCAAAAGCTTTTGAGAAATCAAGGTAAATGACATCAACCTTTCCCTTGCAATCGAGGATGCTTGTCCATTT